TACACCTAATTCTCATTTCTAAATTACTCACTTATTCAAATTTAGATTAATAAATAAACCTATTTTAATATTCTAAACACAAGTGAAACATAAAATTCAAATGAAAGTGAATATATTTTCTCTTTAAATTGCTAGGAAATACACCTTAAAAAACCACATGAAAAATTTAAGCAATATAATTTTTTAAATCACATCCTTAGCTAAAACTTTACATGCAATGCGCCTTTCGTTAGAATCCAAAGTCTTCCTTCACCGAAATAAAATTTAGCTGAAACATGAGTTGCAATGCATTATTTTCTAAATATGTAATGCCTTGGTTAAAGCTAAAAATATTTATCTTGAATAACTAAATAGGTAATAAACATGCATATGCATGTCTATAAAAAAAAGTAAACAAAGAAAATACTTGACAAAGTGTAAAGATCACTTTTAAGGTGAAAATATTATAAAACTTTAAGATCATACACCCATAACTTTTGGAAAATAATCCCAATATATAATAATATATGATGATTAAAGTTTGGATGACCTTAAGCAACTATAATGATCTTTGAGGATGCACATAAGCACCATCCATCTGCAAGTAGTACTACGATAATCATTGGCAGCGCTAAGTAGACCTCTTTAGTGTAAAGTTATAGATGTACGAGAAGCATATATACTCCAGTCTTCAAGGAAACCTAGATATGTGTAACCGTGAGTGACATGGGGCTGGCTTGATCAAGACTGAGCTATTTAGCCATGGCCACTATATGCTATACATCCATATGTGCACTTGAGGACTGTAATTGATGTTTGAACACAGAAACATCACATGAAAATGCAATTAACAAAGTATCTAAATGGTGACATGAGAAGACAAATTAGATACATATGTGCTTGGATCCATATTATAAAGCAAGGAACAAGCATTTATTATTCACTTATGTGCTTCACATCAATGGAAACAAAAGACAAGACTATCAAATTGAATACATAAATAATTATAAAAAACTCAAAATATTCAACCAATGTCTCGGGTAGCAAATATGAATTGTTGCAAAGAGTTTAAAAGTGCAAGAGATGAGATATGTGAATCAAAGTTAAAGTTTGTCATTACCGACTAATGTAAGAAAATTAATAGGTATTGTTTGTTTCCTAAAAGTATATTGCATAACTTTTATTAGTGTCGTGTCTTTATTTTGTTGAAATCATGCTATGTGTCCTATTTTATAAAAACAAAAAATAAAATAGGAGCAGGTCCAAGATGAAAGAATGCTGATAGAAGAACAATTGATTAGAATAAGTAAAGGGAGCCTGATGAAACAAATTAAGAAAAAAAGGAGTTTTTTATTATTAAAATTGCATAGAAAAGCATCAATTTTGTTCAATTTGCTATGCTTAATCAAAGATACATATATGTTATAGTTGAGTCCATATCGTATCTATTATTTTATATTTTTCACGTGATTCGTCTTTTATTCTAGCCCTTACACAATACTTACACATTCACAATTTTTGACCATATATCTTTGTCGGCCAGTTGTCACAATGATGACCTTTACATGTATGGTAACTCTAAATATTGGTTACTTTAATATGACATTCAGATAAATGATGACTCATCACACATTCAAATTGGTGAGAAATTTCTCCAATCAATTTTAGCTACGTTGAAAATGTATTACTATAGTAATAATAATAATAATAAATTATGTTCAAACTTCTGCAAATGTAAAAATAATTTAAATATTTAAATAAATCTAGCTGCGCAAATGCGCGGGAAGCCATCCTAGTTCACAGTACCAGCCAGAGTGGGGCACTGGGGCTCCCGTGAATATGATCGCGCAGATGCATGCATATGCACGCCTCAGGGATCTATGTGGCGACTTGGTGGTTACAGTTAAGTACATTGCCTATCTGAAATTAGCAGGTTGTCCTTGTCGATTGATGGCAAGTACAAATCACCACTAGCTTAATGACTCAGCGTCTTGCTAAACTGTACTTCATTACAAGACCTGCCCTTCAGAACGAAAGGATGCAAACATCCACTTGGAATAAAATGGAGAAAATATGCAACAATTCGCACTTGAGTATAAACCAACGTTGATTTCGTCCGGTGGACATGGATAAATGCAAGGGAGCCGATCGATCGATGGGATTGACGTGGATCTCGATCGGTTGGCACGGGGCACGTGAGCTACTAGTAGATCAAGCTTGCAAAACGCGAATCCGTGTTGCCCTGTCACAAGATCGCCTGCTTGTCGTGGCTAGCTAGCCCGCTCAGATTTGCTTTGTGGTTTGCATCTGATGATCTCATCAACACAGTATACTCTGTGTCCTGATCGATCGCGCCGGCGCGTACACGCGTGGAGCCAGCAGCGAGCTAACTCCCGCGCGCTCACCATCTTCGGCGACAACAACAATGCTGCAAGTGTCTTGCTTCTCGCAGATAATGATATTTCGTTCTTTCATCGATGAGCTCTCCGTTGGTAGGGCCGGGCCTCTGCTGGTTCACGCATCACCTTGCGAGATGCATGCATGGTAGAACAGTGGTACTAGTTCGGGGTTCAGATCCAGGAACAGTGGTGTGGATCATTGAGCTAAACCGGCCGCAAGCTACGGCTACAAGACCTCAAAGACGCTCTGCTATATTCATGCGCATGCTGTAGCAGATCATTTCTTGGGGAGAAAGTGTTGACACGAAAGCTGAGGATCTATGGCCAGACATGAGAAAGCAGCTATGCTTTTATTTTCTTTATAATAAAACAGAAGAATAATACTTATATGCTTGCAAGCCGGTGGGGGGGCCTAATTAATTCCTTACGACTATGAGCGCACTGTGTGATGTGATGAGACCTATCACTTGTGCGTGGTTGGCAGCGTGCACTATGTTGCATTTGGGAGATCGATCGCTGTTGAGAACCAGGGGACAACGGGTCCATGGACTATCATGGTGGCGTATAGGGTCTGAGTCTTTAGGGTCCTGAAAAGGCTGAAATCCAGAGTGAGCTAATTAAAGACGGGAAATTTATTTTCAGGAATTTGTTGCTAGCTAGAAAAGGATTGTTGGTTAGGAGTAGTAGCATAATGCAATACGGGATGCGAAGAAAAAACTAGCAATATTAGTAGATATGCATTGCAATTGCAAACGTTATATGAAAGGCCCCTTGCATTCCAGCGTTTGAAGGAATTAAGCGTGTGTGTCCCCCAGCAATTAGTTATGCTCGTGGCTTCACATTAGCATGTATAACTTCGAGGATAAGCATGCGTGATTGAGGGAGTCCGTGTGGACAATTTTCAGTGTGGAAAGCAGAATGTACCAAATCTATGCACTTATTGTGAGAACCTCTATGATTGACCATTGGAATGTCAGATTGCTGATTCACAAGAAACTGAAGTTCTTGCCATGGACAGGTGACCATAATCGATTAAATTGATCCTGTCCATATGGTTTTCTTTCCCTGCATTCGAATGACGAAGTTGATCTAGATGGTCGTTCAAGTCTGATCTTCAAGAGCAAAGACCACTCTATATCCACAATTATGCTTGACTTAAAAGTCGCTAGGTCCTACCGGTCACAAGTAGTACTAATCATCATAATTCGTGATGCATGAATCAGCGATTTAATCCAGCAGTTGTTCTTGTCTAGTTTGAACTTTGGTCAATCCGACAGAAAAACTAGTTAAGCATAAGTAAGAAAAAAAATGAAAAATAATTTCGTGCAACTAAAAGTTACCGAGTTTAGAAATATACCATCAAAGTGATCCGATACACTTTAATACCGCTGAAAGATCGTGTCGTTTAGACTCTTTTTTTTTTACCACACTCCATTCAACTCCATCACTTAAGCACTTAATTTCCAAATTTTGTTTTTTCTTTTTTCCAAATTGGCAGGCTAAATGACATATCCACCCTCCTCTCAACCTTTATTCTTCATAAAGCATGGAAACATCTTTGCGACGGATCACCGTAGCACCTCCAACTAAGGCCCCTTGCATTCCAGCGTTTGAAGGCTTTGCTTTTGCAAAAGTCAAACGTTGAACAAACCATTTGTTTCTTAATGTAACTTTTGCAAAACAACAAAATATATAGATTTTGAGGAGCTTTTGCTGACTGTTGTGAGCTGCTGTTTTGATTGTTCTTGTATGTACTAGTCATTTTATTCCTTCAAAAGTCAATTCACAGTGACAAATTTTACAGCCTTTCAGAAATCCAAGTTATACAAATATCTCTAAAAAGTGGCTTTTGAAAAGCACTAGCCAAACAAAGCAGGCCATAAGCAAAGGCCATCATGATGATTATATTGTCTTTATAAGAAAGAAATAGAGAGAGAGAATGTACTCCTAACGTAACTAGCTAGAACAAGTAACAAAATATTAGAAAGTTACTACAAAAAAATTGATAGTTAATCGCATACATTATCAAATTTTATATATAAGCATTTCCAAGTGGAGCACGGAATCAGAAGATGGTGACAATGAATTTCCTTTTTCATTAAAAATATATAAATTGATCTTTAATCGCATACATTATCAAATTTTATGTTGCAATAAGGCTCCGTATGGAGCACGGAATCAGTGCCACACTACATTCAGAATTTCTGAAGATACCTTTCCAAGTGGAACCTAAATAATTGCATACACAGGCACCTAATGATCAGGAGAGAGCGTATCATATCTGGATGAGGAATTGAGTACACGGTACTTAATCCCTCTCCTAACCACATATTATGCCTTCGATCATGCCGGCACACTTTTTCTCATCCGTCGCTCTGCCCGACCGGGCCATCAAAGTACTGTCCTTTTTTTTTTGAGAAATTACACAGTACAACTCAGACACTCACAACGCACGCACACTCACCCCTATGAACGCACATACGCAAACCCTACCCCTATGAGCATCTTCGAAGACTGAGCCGGCAAATTCTCCAGATTCCCGAAGTCACCACTGGCGCCTCGCTGTCGACGGCCACGTCGCCTACCGCTGAAAGCACAAATGCGGTTAAATCCTAGAAAATTCGCTCCCACCGGGAGTCGAACCCAGGACCTCAAAGGTGTTACTCGGATGCCTTAACCGCTAGGCCAAGACCCCTTTCACATCAAAGTACTGCCCTTGACGTTGATCACCGAAGTTAGCTTCAAATCTCAACCTTCCTAAATGACACCATCCATACATAGACGAACGAAGCTAAAGGCCTAAGGAACATGAAGTAGCCCGGCGTCGTCGACGTACGAGTGCGCCGTCACGTCACGATCGCGGAGTACGCTACACTTATTAGCTAGCAACAGTGGCCTAGCTCATAGATAATTAATTAACGACCTCAATCAACAAGCTGATCGATTCAACACCCTTAATTGCTCCGCAGCCTCTGCTTATTGCCTCCCCCCGGAAGCATGCACCCACGTAAAACGACCTTACACCAACGGCCGAAACGGACTGGGGGGAAAAACAACGCGGACTTTTAGTATCTCGCAATCGCTTCTCACGCCGGGGCACTGCTCACTCATCAGCAGCTGATGACGATAATACTAGCCAGCAAAGCAGACTTCCACGACGAGGGATCGAGTGGTGGTGGCAAACCCCATGGATCGCGTGCGCAGATGGGTCGAGCCGACGACGCGGCGGAGGTAACTTGCCGGGGTGGGTCTCGTTGTGAGGCAGAGATCGAGAGATCATGGCGGCGTCGTTATACTACCACCTCGGCTTCAGTACTCCCGGTTGGGTTGGGTTGCGGCACAGACGTGACAAGGTATTGGAATCTTCCACCTGGCTCTCAGATCGGTTTCAGATGTCGCATCAGCGGACAGGGACCTGACGGCCGCGCGGCACATCGGCTCGCGGCCAGTCGATCAGTTCGGTACAGTTGCGCACGGGGGCCACGCCACGCGGCGGCTTGTTCGATCGGTCTCCTCGATCTCTATAAAACGGAGGTCTGCAATGAACGTCGGCCACACTGGTTAGCACCGGTCGTAGCTACTAGCCACCAACATTGTTTGCTTTTAGGAACCGATCGAACCACTCATCCATCGATCGAGCAGTGAGCGAGTTTGCGTGGTTGGGAACCGGTCGATGGCGTTGAGGGAGATCGAGTCTACTCTGCCGCCGGGGTTCAGGTTCTACCCGAGCGACGAGGAGCTTGTGTGCCACTACCTTCACAAGAAGGTGTCCAACGAGCGCATCGCGCAAGGGACGCTCGTCGAAGTCGATCTCCACGCGCGCGAGCCATGGGAGCTCCCAGGTCAGTCAGCTAATCTCATCTTAGCTTTGCTTTTTTCTTTTTACCTTTTAGCTTAAGCTTATCAGTAGCTACTAGCTAGAGACCTTTATCGGACAAAGTGAACCTGGTACCAAGCTGAGGCATATAGGCAATGCTTGTAGCTGACGATTATTGGTGGCATAACATAAGCAATAATTGACTACACGTACCTGGCCGGCATGAGATGTTTCTGCTAATCGTTGAGATGTTCAACACAGTCCCGTTGATAATGTACATGTGCATGCTGTGATTCCAGTAAGTTCTATTAGCATCATCAAAAGGTTCATAATTTTAGTACTACGAATTCCCAGCTCACCGTGGCCATGACATGTCATGCATGCATGCCAATAATCTAGTACTTCACAGCACAACATGTTTCGTGCTGCTTGAACTGGTGATCACCAGCTAACATTGGGCATGGGCGCAGATGTGGCGAAGCTGACTGCCAGCGAGTGGTACTTCTTCAGCTTCAGGGACCGCAAGTACGCGACGGGGTCGCGCACGAACCGCGCCACCAAGACGGGATACTGGAAGGCCACGGGCAAGGACCGGGAGGTGCGCAGCACCGCCACGCGCGCCGTCGTCGGCATGAGGAAGACGCTCGTCTTCTACCAGGGCCGGGCACCCAACGGCGTCAAGTCCTGTTGGGTCATGCACGAGTTCCGCCTCGACACCCCGCATTCGCCGCCTAGGGTACGTATACCTACATGGATAACACACGTTATCTCCCATCCTCCATAATCACTTCTCCTATTCTGTGACCAAACAATTATTGGAGTTTTTGGTTTTACTTGTTGCTTGCTTCTGAGACGAGGCGTAACGTCCTCTAATTTTCTTCACGACTTGGAATTGTTCGTTTCCGATATGCATATAGTGTACGTTGCATAGTACATCATATCAACCGCTCCCCGATTTCGATAGTTTGCCAGAACGAAATTAATATCTCAACATTCTGGAGAATGTTTGTCTACAGCGTGTAAGTAGGAGTAGCGGATTGAGTTCAGCTAGCAGGGCTTGTCTCGAGGGTACAGCGCTGGATCAGTACCTGTTGTTGTCAACCTGAAAATACCATAGTAAGCATAAGCAGATTATAATTGATTATTGAACAAGGACGCCTTATCCAACACTAGCTTATCGATCCCGTGAATCACGGGGGCGAACACTCTGAAACTAGATGACAACTGCTAATAAGGACCTTTCACTAATATAGGGTGTAGGAAGTACACAAGGAAGACAGTGACGCCAGCTTCTTGATAACTAATCATTCTTGTTTGTTGCGTCGTCCGCTTAATTAGCATGCAAAACATCAGCACGTGAACAAACGTCTTTGCACTTACCCAGCCACCAAGCGCTAGATTGCCTACCCACGCCGAGAAAATACTGTACTACTTACATCTTCTAGAGCCGTTTTCACCCAACGAGACAATAACAAAAAAGAACCAAATAACTTAGCAGCAACAACCTTGCTGCATGCCTGCCTGCCTGCTCCACAAGGTGGCCGGGGAACGTTCAAGGCTTGAACGAACAAGATGGGACCGCTGGACGCATGCATAATTGCTGTGTTTCTCCTCTTGTACATTTCTGATAGGCACACGCTCAGGAGAAACGTGCACATACAAGCTGCTCATGCTGGCCAGGTCTAGACACGCACACACTAAATGTACTGGAAGAAGGCGGCAGCTGGGCAACGCATTGAAAAGCCTAGACGCAGGGAATGGACCATCCATCCGACAGGTCCCCCAGCACGACACAATAATTGGTTCATCATTCCCTAATCGACAATTTCTTCTCGTGGGATAAGGACGTACAGATTCCCCCTGACTTCACATGGCCAGTGTTAATTCAATTGTAGTATCTCCTTAACTTGCTAAAAATTTTGGTCAATTACACGTGTCAGCATGTTGTTTACCCGTCTGAAGTCTGAAACTCTGAATGCGTCGCGTGCAGGAGGACTGGGTGCTCTGCAGGGTGTTTCAGAAGACGAAGGGAGACGGCGACGGCCAAGATGGCAGCTCCAGCGCCTCGCCCACCTTCGCTGGCTCATCGCATGTCATGCCCGAGCAGGAGCACACTACCTCAGCCGGCTGCTATGGCTTCTTCAGCAATGTGGAGGAGCAGGATATGGCGCAGATGCTGACATATTACGGCGGCACCGGAGACAACACGGGCGGCGCGCTGCCGGGATTTGAGTTTGGCGCGAGGGGAGTCACTGGGGACGAGTACGGGTTTGGTTACTTCGACATGGCCGGCTTTGACGACATGGCGAACCATGGGCTGGGAGGCATGGGGTTGCCGCAAGGATGGAACTGATCGAACATTGCCAAGACCCTAGCTGTCTTCTTCAAAGAGACTGCTATTGCTGGATTAATTAATTTTATTGATTGTTTATAAACACAAGGTGCTTGAAAGATAGGTTAAATTGGGTTTGGAAATGTTGTGAGTTTTAGGAGATTAATTGTGAATGTGAAATCAAATGTAAATTATTTAAAAGCTTTTGTGTAATGCAATTAAAGTAAGTATTGCAAAAAGAGTCATCAAGTATAGCAAAAAGCTCATCTTTTTTTTTTTGAGCCAAAAAAAAGAGAGAGGAAGCTCATCTTCGTAAGTGTGTACTGTATATTGCACGGTGCATTGCATGTGGAGCTGCAGGGCCGGCCCAGGTTGACATGTACGGTTACTGAGACCCGGAAAGTCCAGTCTGGGCCTCTTCACACTCTGATGATTCGCAGCTGCACACAAACTGTGCATTTCTGGACTCTGATGCTAGAGGCTGCTACGAAGGCGCTGCTCGCTCGCAGCTGCGGCAGACTTTGCAGTGATAAGAGCAAGTCCAATAAGCTTGTCTTACCGACAAGCCAGAGCTCAACTTGTAGACAACGTGTACAATAATTTGTCTCCACAAAGGCTCCAACGAAATTATATTTTATCTCCTGTGGGCCCCACTTCTCCTCCTCCCTTATCCATCTCCTCTGCGAGCCATGGCGGCGAACGGGGCAGGGCCAGGCGGCGGCCAGCGGTGACCGCGCCTCCCCGCGCGACCCCGCCTCCCCGCGACCCCTTCCCCGCGCGCGACCTGCTCGTCGTCGTCGAGGGCGACGTGTCGTCGGACCTGCCCGTGCAGTGGAAGGAAGTCGTCTACGACGCCACGCACGCGCTTCGGCTTTGCATCGCCAGCTTCAAGGTGCCAAACTTCCACGCCGGCGCGCTCCGGCTCGCCGCCGAGCTCCCGTCGCTCATGCTCTCCGCCGACTATCGCCTCGCGCCCGAGCACAGCCTCCCGGCCGCGCCTTCACGCCCGAGGAGGATGCGCTCATCGTCGCCGCGCACGCGCGCTACGGCTGCTCCACGGCCGCACCGACAACTCCGTCAAGCAGTGCTGGCACGGCGGTGGTGGGGACGGCGGTCGACGCGCTGGACGTGGCGGCGCCGGCGACGGACACCGTGCCGCTCCTATCGATGGCGGATCTCTGCAAGGAGCCGCCGGCGTCGTCCGTGGGGGACGTCGCTCTCCCTCAGCTTGCCGGGCGGCGGCGGCCCTGTCCCCGCGGCCGCCGCGCCGCCGAGGGCCGTCGCTCCGACGGAGGATGGGCCGGCCAAGACGCGCGCCAGGATGGAGGAGGACCCGCTCGTCGTCGTCTCGGGCTGGCGGAGGATCCCATCGGCGGCGTGCCAGATTGGGCGGGGAGTGGGGAGGAGAGGGTGGGAGAGGTGGCGGGGCCCACGAGCGGCGACGCGATCGTCGCCCGCAGACGCGACGAGCTCGGTGTCAGACCGCTTTTCTCTCTCCGGCACGTAGGATTTTTCTGACGTGGCTTATCGATTCGTCAGTTATTGG